CCGGGTTCGGGGCCTTTGCCGGCCGCGCTGGCTGCCATGGGCTCGGAGATGGAGCCACTGTTCCTGGCCTGGAGCTATTTCAGGCGTAGGAAGTTCCAGCTCTGCGCCGATCTGTGCACGCAGATGCTGGAGAAGTCCCCTTATGATCAGGTACCGGCCGGCCCCCTGCAGCCTGGGGTCCCGGCGCTGAGGCTGGGGAATCCCGGCCCCCGGGTGGGGAGGCTGGGGAGGAAGGCCCAGGGCAGGGCTGGCCCATGGCTCGCGGCGGCGCCCGCAGCCAGAACTCTGGGGCCGTGGCGGGCGGGTCCCTGCCTCTCGCATCCGCGAGGACCACGAGTTCTGTGCCGTGACCGCCCCTTCCTCCAACTCCAGCCTCTCTTTCCTTTAAGTGTCCCAGAGTTAGAGCCCTGGATTTACTTTGATGGGGACCTTTGAGAATTCATTTATGCTCGCACACGGATGGGCGCTAAGCTCTCTGCATGTGCGTTAGCTTCTTCACCCCTACCCTCCGTTTCTTCTATTTTTATTTGTTTATTTTTTTTGCAGAGATGAAGTCTCGCTATGTTGCCCAGGCTTGTCTCCAACTCCTGGCCTCAATGGATTCTCCTGCCTAGGTCTCCCAAAGTGATGGGTGTAAGCTACTGCGCCCAGCTGCGTTAACTTCTTTTATTTATTTGTACATTTTTCTTTATTTTGAGTCGGGCGCTCTGTGGCCCAGGCTGTAGTGCAATGGCATGATCATGGCTCACTGCAGCCTCGACTTCTTGGGCTTAGGTGATCCTTCTTCCACAGGAGTGGCTGGGACTACAGGCACATGCCACCAGGCCCTGCTAATGTTTTAATTTAATTTAATTTTTTGAAGAGACGAGGTTTGGCTATGTTGCCTAGGCTGGTCTTGAACTCCTGGGCTCAAGCACTCCTCCTGCTTTGGCCTCCCAAAGTGCCACCACGCTCACCCCACATAATTGACTTCTAAAAAAAAAATTTTGTATAAACAGAGATTGATGACTCTCCACCCCTTAACATAGCCGCCTTCTTTCTTTAGGATCAGATGTGTGGTCCTCCTACCTCATCTTTAGACAGTTGTCCAGGAGTGAAGGAGCTTTGGATTTGGAGATTGTGAAGAATGAGGATATAGTGTGAATAGGGGAATAGGGAAAAGAGACATTTATCATGAAAGAAATTACCCTGGCAAAGGAAGCTACAATACTAGGAGGGAGAAATGGGAAAGAAAGTTGCCTTAAAAGGAGGAATGACAGCATTGATGAAAAAAGAACTCAAATAAACGACGGTAATATGGTGTATGGTGAGTGAAATATACAATGTGTGTGAGGGGTGCAACTCTGGTGGGCAGGTGGCTCTTGGAGGAGGCAAGGAAGGAGTCAGTGTGAGAACAGAGGGAGAGCATGGCAGTGTCAGTGCTTCCGTAGGTGCAGAACGTTTCATATGTAGCTTGAGTCCCCAGCTCATCCTAATGGTGTTGCCGTGGAGATGTGGGAATAAATGGAAAATCGAAGGAAGTCGTGAAAGCGGAGGCCCGAGTGTTAAGGCTGTCACCAGACTCTGCCTTAGCACGGCAAATGGATGGATGTGACCTGTCGAGGGGGATGTTTTATCCTTCAGACAGCACAACGGCTGTAGATCAATCATGTTCGCAGTGATGCCAAGTTCTGTTTGTGTCAGTTCATGTTGGTTCATAGCACTTGGGTGTTGTAGATGGTCATTTCTCAAGTGTGTTTTTTGGCACAGTAGCTCCATGGGTGCTGCTCAAAAAAAAAAAAAAGATTCTAAAATCAAACATGGAGGGTACCAAAACCATGTATACACATTTTAAGAAAGGAAGAAAAAACTATTAAAATTGTAATACTTGATCTATTCTGATTACAAAAGGTTAGCACCATCTTTTGAGGGAACGTCACACTACACATGCTACTGTAATTAAATTCAACTTCAAAAAAGTAAGTCATAGATGACATCACTTAAAATGTGTATACTTTTATGCATGGGAACTGTGACAAAATGCTGATGACTTTAGCTTTGTGTGACAGAGGTGGTTTGCAGGAACTCAGTGATGTGTTCGTTTCCACTGAGTTGGTTTCCATTCCATGTTCCCAGAAGACCAGTCCCAAGAGCTACTCATGAGAGAAAGTTTCCTCTTTAAATGCATTTGGGAAAAGTATATTCCTTCCTGGAGACTCAGTTGCACACTAAAGACTCTGAGCAGTTCTGAAAAAAAGAAAGTTACTTCTGGCTACTTGATGAATCCAACTAATCAAATAGTTCTGAAACTTACTTGCCCATGTTCTTTTTTGACCCATGACTAGAATCAGATATCTTCCTTGTCACCATGGGGAGATGATGTCATACCATGAAGTGTTGTGGTGGGTAGAGCAGTCGTGTTTTTATTAATGGTTAAGAGCCTACAATCTTGAGTCTGTAGTGACGTTGGGTACAGCACCTTTGGATTGAGATTGCTGGTACTAGGCCCTTTGATTGGGACTTTATATATGTGTTCATTTCAGTGACATTTTATGGAGGACTTAACAGGCTGAGTATCCCTTATCCAAAATGCTTGGGACCTGAAGTGTTTCAGATTTCAGTTTTTTTCAGATTTTGGAATATTTGCAATATATGTACTTACAGGTTGAGTATCCCTCATCTGAAAATCTGAAATCCAAAACGCTCCAGTGAGCATTTTCTGAGCTCATGTTCAGGCTCAAAATATATCAGATTTTGGATCATTTTGGATTTCGGGTTTTTGGGTTACAGATGTTCAACCTGTACTTGGCATACATAAATTCTGTAAGTTATAGGTACTTCTAATGCTTAGAATAATTTTTCACAGTAGGTAACAAAACTAATAGTTAGTATCTGTTGAGTATTTACTATGTGTCAAGCTTGGTTCATAGGGTTTTATGTGTTATCTCATTTAATTCTCAACTATTTTAGCAAGTTGGTACTTTTTTCCCATTTTACAGATCGAGCACACTGAAGCACACAGTGAAGTCAACCATTCAAAGTTACAAGCTAGTAAGCCTATTCCCTTTGTCTATGCTATGCTGCCATTTTGGCTTATATAATCTAATTTTTCTTTTTAGTTTTTTGAGTCAGGATCTCATCCTGTTGCCCAGGCCGGAGTGCAGTGGCATGATCACGATTCACTGCAGCCTTGACCTACTGGGCTCAGGTGAACCTCCTGTATCAGCCTCCCGAGAAGCTGGGATTACAGGCATACACCACCATGCCTGGATATATATATATATATATATTTTTTTTTTTTTTTTTGGTAGAGATGAAGTATCGCCTTTCCTTTCACCTAGGAAAAACAGGAAATCAAAGACAGTGCTTTGTTTTAAAATGTCCCATGTTAACTAAACCAGGTATCAACGTGGGTCTTTTTTCATGGCCTCTTGTAGAGCTCAGTTAGGCCTCACTGACTCTTAAAGATTAAGACTTGTTACTACACATGCTTGGTGGAAGTGTGATACATATATATATACATATACATATACATACTTTTGAGTCACCCAGGCTGGAGTGCAGTGGAGTGGTCACAGCCAAACTGCAGTCTCAACCTGCTGGGCTCAGGAGATCCTCCAGCCTCAGCCTTCCAAGTAGCTGGAGCTATAGGTATGCACCTCTACACCTGGCTAAAATTTTGATTTATTGTAGAGATGAGTTTTCGCCAGGTTGCCCAGACTGATCTCAAACTACTGGACTCAGACAATCTTTTCGCCTCTGCCTCCCAAATTGCTGGAATTACAGGTGTGATTACCCAGCCTGGAAGTGTGATTTTGATAATGATAATGAAGAAAAAATGACCCAGGATCGTGTGGGAAATGCTATCGGCATGGATTGACCATTGACATGGTTGAAGTCATCATGGCAACAGTGTCCTGGCCCATTCTGGTTGTCCAGTTTGCTGTAGATTTGAAATAATACCTCATAATGCCATACATCATTTCTTTTTTTTTTTTTGAGTTGGAGTCTCACTCTGTCGCTCAGACTGGAGTACAGTGGCCTCCTGGCCACCGCAGCCTCGACCTACTGGGCTCCAGCAATCCTTCCGCCTCAGCCTTCCAAGTAGCTGGAACTACAAGGCACGCACTACCACGCCCGGCTAATTTTTGATTTATTGTAGAGATGAGGTCTCGCCAAGTTGCCCAGGTGGGTCTCAAACCCTCGGGCTCAGGCAGTCCACTCACCTCAGCCTCCCAAGGTGCGGGATTACAGGCTGAGCCACCGAGCCCGGCTGCCATATATCATTTCTAATACCAGATAAGCTTTTTTTTTTTTAAACATTACTCTTTGTCATTGTTTTATTTTTATGAGCAGTAGTTGATATGTTCAGCTCCCAGAAATATCAGAGTAGGCCTAAGAGAGTCTGTGCCAGATCTAGAAGAGATGTGGTATTCTTTTCCTTTCTAATCCTTTTTATTTGTTTAGCTGAGGCAGTTTATTTAGGGATGAATTTTATATATTGCCAGAATAATGAGCAGCATTTTATCAGGAACAGAAGTTTAATTTTATGTTATCATCCTAAAGTAGGCTTCTCATACCCAAGTAGTTTTATTTTAGTGTTGACAGGGTTCACTCGTGCTAATCATTTTTTGACCCAGCTTTGAACACGGTACTCTTATTCCCATATGCTATTTTTAGCACCAGTTTGTGTATTTTGTTCATAGTTGTTATTTCATGTGAGAAGTATTTCCCAGTATGACTTTCTCCAAGCTTGAAGAAATCCTGCCTTTTTCATAATTTAAAAAATCAGTCTTTATGTTAGAGCATTGGTGTCAGTGAAAAGCTTTAGGAAGAAAGCTTAGGGAGGTTCCTTTGGTTAAGAGCTTGAAACTTCTCTGTCCTCTGAACACGACTTCCTGCAGGTGGGTCTGTAGGGCATACTGGCACCTGGCACAGGGCCTGGCATGGGGGGACTCTCATGTGTTTGCCAGCTGATGTGTTGGTTGAAGCTATTCCCATAGGCCAGCTTCCCTTCTGTTCGTGGTGATCATCCTAGTTGCCTGGTCTTTGTCTTCCCCACCATAGCCCTAATTCTCAGCACCACAGGTTCTCATATGCCCATTTACTTTTTCAAATAATATAATTGCATTATGGGCATTCTTAACTCTTTTCTTGTTTTGAGGGGCAGT